TACATCGCTTCAAATATGTTACTCATAGAAAAGGCTACTGAAACGGTAATGCGGTTTAGCCTGTGAGGAAATGAATAGACAGTTTTAGGAAGCAGGACTTAAAGGATTTTTTGTGTTCTGGACTCACATAAAAGGTATGTTGGATGCGCAGAGCCAGGTTCTCTGTTTTGACATTCCAGATCAATGGTTGGGGGGAGCTGAGCACGAAGACCAGGGGCTTCTGGTGGTGCAGCATCGACTGGATGGGCTTCAAATGTAAGTCAACCTGGCAAGAGCAAAAAAAAAAAAGGGGGAAAAAGAAAGAGAGAAATTAGCGCCCTGTTACCACAAGTATATTGAGGAAGAGAGAAGAGTAAAAAAAACAGAAATCCTACGAGATCAGTCAGAGTACATAACATGATCTGATTTCACACAGCTGAACTGGGCAAATGTCAAAGCTTTGATATTCTCATGTTCCGTTTTGTATAAGCATTAATATCAGGCAACTGCTACTAGTCTGGTGAAAATCCAGCTCTGTTATGATGTAAATTGTTCTACATTATCTAGCTTTGTGGTTGTTTATGTACTCACTTTGCTGATAAACTTACAAAGACGGCATGCTGTGTTCTCCCTAAAAGGCTCTGATATGTATCCTCAGAGGGCTCTTAACTTTCACACAGTGGAGTCTTTGTTCACGTGGAAAAAAATAGTAAGTGGCGGGTCCCTGTAACCATCCCTACAGCTTGCAACTATGCCTTTTTTCAGACTCCCATTAAAATAGATTTTCACAGTCTGTTAGTGAGATGGCGAAAACAAACGTGTGTGTTTTGGGACCTTAACTGATGTTTCTTGTTTCTAGTGTTAGCCTTCACTTACGCCAAAGTGAGTCAGGTGGTTCAAAGTGCGAGACTTAACCCAAAATTATCTCAAGCAAAGGTCTGGCTTTCCATCATTTTCTTTAAATTGTACTCAAACTGAAAAACACCAGCTTACTAACAAACTGTTAAAATTCTCTATTGTTGTCACTGATGAGAAACTGACACTCTCGGGGGGCTCAGAGGTCTGTCTGACACTCATCTTTAAACTTCCTCCTCTCTGTATTCTCAGACTAATCAAATCAGCTCCATTCTGCGTGTCAGCAGTAAAAAGCTGCAAATCACTAACTGAACCCATAAGGACTCACATTTTAGGATCTACACAACACCACAGTAAGTTAATTATTCACAGCTCAGCAAAAGATCAGCTTTTGCTTTTAAACTCAAAATATAGCTTTTGTACTTCAATAACAGAACAAATGAGCTGAAAACAGAGTGATGGTGATTAAAAAGCAAGTTGACAGGTTATTATTAGCAGTGCTTGAATTAGTGAAAAACAGGCTGAGCATTAAGTTGCTCAGATGTGGTTATGGAGTGCGTATTATCGAGACAGAGATCTACACGCTATAATTGAAACCGTTAACATTTTCTGCTACACTCATATGTTTTCAGTCACTACAAAACGTATTTGCAAACACTGCAGTACTCATTTAGATGGATTTATTAATGGAAAAAGTAAACAGTTTGTTATAGGTTCTGAACCAGACTAAATACTGAACAGAGTACAATATCCTTTATCCCTTTAATATTGTTTTACATTTGCTCTTGCCAAGTTGATATTTTACGGTCCATGCTTATTCCCGGGGTGTCAAACACTGGAGTTTTGTCAAAACTGCTGGCCTTTATGGCACATCTGCGACACATCTTCCCTTCCAGCTTGTTGTTTCAAAGCTCAGTACTGGTAAAAGCGCCTCCGTGCCACATTTAAGCCTAATTTTTCAACATGCAGCCTCAACCAAGCTGGTTTTAGCACGGTTTTAGCAACCAAGTAGCATTGTGTGCCTTCACCTAACCAGTAAGAAGAAGCAAAGTAAAAAAAAAACAAATAAATTTCTGCTATCACATTTTCAGACCTGCTCTATCATAAATAGAGCAGAACATCAATGGTAGGTAAAGTAATTTATCAGCAGTAACTGTTGACTATGGTGTATGCTGTCAACAATTTGGGGTGGTCGAGGGGGTTGTCTACCAACTCGAAGATTAGTGGATCTATCCCTGACTCCTCCAGTCAGCAAGCTGAAGCATCCTTGGAAGAAAGCCGTGTGTGAATGTGTGTCTGATTAGGTGAATTAGACTTGCAGTAAAAAGCACTTTGATTGCGCAACTGAGTAGAAAGACGCAGTATAAGTTCCAGTCAATTTAACAAAAAGTAGTAAAAAACGGCTAATGTGTTTGATTTTACTGTTCTCTAATCACTATGAATATGTATGGTATTTATTAAAACATAAAGCGTTACGGGTGTTTGCTTACATGAGATGACAGTAGGCAGTGGTTTATGTCATATACACATCTGGGGCAGATCTGGGGGCACAGGCAACAAAATGAGTATCCCCTGACTGGTAACAAGTGGTTGCTAACAATCACTTTAGGCCTATAGACTGGTCAGTGATTCCAATATGAAGCATTGAGCAGGGTGTTTTCTTGGCCCACCCCTACAGCATTATCCTCCTCTCTGACTCCCTAAGTGGCCACTGATTCACAAAAAGAACATCATGTTGTATTCAATAATATTCAGACTAAGCTTACAGATTTTAAGCACTAAAGGGACGGTTTCCAAGGAACTTGCATACAACTACATTTAAATACAGTCATTGGAGCTTGTAAAACAAGCTACAGCAACTGTGCAATATATGAAAACACTTTTCACCTTTGAATGTCGTAATATATGCAAAACTTCTGTATTATTAAATTAAAAGCTTGATTTGGTAATTTTTTTTTACAGTGAAACTAGAAGTGTTTTCCGAGGAAACATTACAGGAATCTTGGGAGAGCATAAACAAGAAGCAACCGCACCATTTTATCGGAATACTTTCACACACAAACAAGATAAGATTGTGATCGCACTCGAAGCACATCCTCAAAGCCAACTTCGAGGAAGAGTCCCCCTAGGTGCCAAAAAATACAAAGATTTACAATTTATTTCAACGAGTAAAGATTTGCTTTTCAATGTGCTTCCTAATGTTGGACAAAGCTGTCACTTATACCAAAGGCTGACTTTTCTTTCATTATCATGTAGACTATAATAACTGTGCCAAATGATATCTTCTTTATCAAGAAGTATGCAGTTAATGAACAGGCTTTTTTTTTGGCATTTCTCTTTTTTCTGTTTCCATTTGATCCATTTGTCACTAAAACAAGAAGCCATGCAGCATTCTAGACTAACATATACCTCAGCACAGAAGGAAAGTCTGACTGTCATTTTCTGAAGTACGATGTGTCACTGTGATGATTCATGAAGTCATTTAACAAGAGATACTAGCAGAACAAACAGAGTCAGCATCAAAGTCCAATTATCATTCCTCAACAGATGTAAGCCCTCAAGGAGAGTAATGCAAACCAGAATGTTCAGTTATGTGGTCCATGAAAGTGTTGCAAAAATCGTTAAAACGTCCCTATGAGACAAGGAAATGGAACAAATTACTAAACACTTATCTATGAGGCAATCTGGATGGTGATCCAAACAAACAGATCAGAGATTCATCGCTCTCTGTCTCACTATTTTTCCCCTTTTTTTTCATATTTGCACTTAATCCAGACACTGGAAAAAGCGACTGTATTGCTCCTTTGAGGATAACAACAACCAAGATATAATCATACCTGGCTTGGCTCTAAGAGCCTGGCTTCAATAGATGGAAGAAGGAGGTAGAAAGAAAACGAGAGTCGGGGAGAGTTGTAAAAGATGAGGAATTTTAAACCCAGACAGAAACTTTTCCAGAAGACGTGAGTCACCTGCAAACACAGGCATAAACAGAGCTCCAAGAAGAGGAAGTGCCAAGAGGCGCTAAGGGGTCGGAAAGGGTGAAAACTGTGGTGATTATTATCTTTTTTTTCCCCCAAGTTTAATGAGAAAACAGCATTAATAAAAATCTAAACCCTTTCTGGGTTGCACAATGTAAGCAATGATGAGGACTCAGCAGCAGCTGGTGTGCATCTCTGCCCACAGAGCTGTGATCGTGAGGTCTGGTGAGGCTAGTGGGCATAGCAACAGACCTTGTCAAGCAGCCAGGGTGTGGAAAGAAGAGGTGCAAAAGCACCAGGCATCAAAGTACCTCTTGTGGTGTTTGTAAGGATCAGGTGGCGCTGAGTTGTCCTTGATGGAGGCAGCTACCTTCGGAGAACCCTGCAGGGTGTGCTCGGGACAGGAAGCCACGGCACGGCTGATTGATTATCAGGAGCCTGGCACAAGGATTTAGGGGTGCAGGGTCCATTACAGTTAAGGGGGGCATTTGCCAGCAGCCACGGATGGAGGCTTGTCTCGGACTATCGCGTTACTGAAATTAAACTCCACACAAGGGACGACAGCTGTAGCAGGATAAGCCGTCACACAGCATACCATTAGTGGTGGTAGCATGTGTAAACAATGGAAATGTGAGGAAAAAAACAACACAGCATCAACTTTAAGCTCTAAATCAGCTCCAACAACAAACACAGCGCCAACTACAACAAAACCGAAAAAAAACAAAACACAAATCACAGACAAGCTTTCGTTGTATAGCAAAGCCACATGGTTAGATTTAGATCCTACTGATGCCTGTGACACTGAAACTGTAAAGGGTGGTTTGTTTGTCCTGCTTCAAGCATGCAGTTGCAATTCCAGGACCTTTCAAGGCAACTTAATTACACAATGTTTCAAGAGTGCTTTATAAAGGCTGTGCATCAGCATTGTAATGAAATACTTTCACCATCCAATATTTTGCATAGCCGTGTAAACCTGCACCCTGCAGTTAGAGCACACTATCACTGCGGCTCAGTGTCCTTGCAGGAAAAGGGAGTTTCCTTTATTGACAGAGCTAATTAAATGCCCGATGAACCCTAGTGATTCTGAAAAAAACCCAAAACATCCTTTAATTATCTGAAAAGTAAGACTAATCTGGGAACACACTCTCCCACCCAGGAAATAATAATCAGCTTCAGAAAAACAGAAAGAAAGCACAGCATGTATCACATGACATGAACCATCATCACTAAAATCCAAGAGTACTATACAAAAAAAACAACAACGACATACACAAACTGTGGCTAAACCCCATACCACAACATTTTTATAGTTGAAAACATAGACAACAAACTCCGAGAACTGCCTGGAACCAATCATACTGTGTTATCTGATGTGTGCGTATGTGCGTGTGTCTTGTCAGTCTGGATCTTGGTTCTTTCCGGATCACTGAGGGTGTACAGAGAGAAGGGAAAC